GGAGGATTGGTGGGGGGTTGGGACTGACCGCGCGGTTGGAAGAGGGGGGAGGCAAGGTGGGGTACTTTGATTGACAGATAGTGTAGTGAAGATTATTTTTTTTATTATTAACAGAAGATATTTGTTTTAGCTCATAAAATTCATACAAATTACCCGGTCAGAATATAATTTACATTGCTGGAATTCTTATAATCTGGTGATCATTTTGAATATAAACATCATATATTTTGCATTAGACATACAAATTTTAGATAAAATTTTTTCTCTGGGTAACTATGTTATCTTTTGTGCAAAATATATGACATTTATATTCAAAATATTCCTGGTCTTACAAGGAATCCAGCAATGTCAATTGAATTATCCTAACTTTAGTTTGAGGTATTATTTATTAAAATTTAGTGGTTTTCCCCCAAAAATTTCTCAGAGAGGGAAGAGCCGGCAGTGTAGTGTGAGAGGGAGAGGGAGTTGAGTCCATTATTTGAATGGACATTAACTTGGCGACTGTATTTCTCTATTTCTCTTAAGTATTAATTGTGTGCATGTACCATCATAAAATTAAGATGTTATTTTTACTACAACATAGGTATGTGCCTTCAAAAAGTGGAGTTTGGGGGTCGGGCCGGTTTCTGTTGGAATTAATCCCATATGTTCTGTTGTTCACTTAACGCGGATTTCACTTAACACGGGACCCTCTGGGTTCTATTGACCGCGTTAAGTGGGGTACAACTGTAGTGTACTTTACTGTACTGTACAAAAAAAAATTTTTATTCCAATTTCCTTAATTGATACGAAATATTATTTCTCTAGTGTATTTTGGTGTTTTTAGTCGATTCTGAACTTCGTTTTGTAAAAAATTAACATTTCCCATTTTATTTAATTTTTTTACAAAATTCTCTCATTTGCACAAGAAATGAAGGTCACATTAGACTAAAACACCATAATACATAAGAAAAGTTTTTCGTATAACAATTTCAACTTCCAAATCACTATTGAAACCGAGCCTAACCTAACCTATCCTCCGGCTGGGAAGTTAGGTAAAGTTAGATAGGTTTCTTTAGTTGGTTAGGTTAGGTTCTATATGGTGCTAATAAAAGTCGCCTCTTTTTAAAATACTGTTATGCCCGCGGTGCCCACCATTTCTCTGTGGATGTCGGTCACACTATAATAACCCGTTATAGTACCTCATTCTTTCCTCACACAGTCAAACTGTGGAATGCTCTGCCTTCTTCTGTGTTTCCATACTCATACAATGTCTCACTACAAAAAGATGGTTTTCTTGCACCTTCGTAGTGTAGATTAATATGATCTTTTTCTTTTCTATTTTAATTTCTTTTTACTCCTTTTTTTCAGCCCCCCCCTCCAATGGCTCTATTGTGGGTCAGTGACCTGTCCCAGGTGGGCTATTCCCCCACCCAAAAAAAAAATATAGGTGTTTTGATTGTTTTCTGCCCTAAGCAGCAGTTATTTGGGTAAATTTAGTGAAATTTTTGTATAGATAATGATGTATTAATGATGTAAGAATATTCTAGAATATATTGCATCATTTTTGTTATGATTTTACTTATTATTGGAAGCCTCGGTCAGAGTACGTAGAACGTTCTAGAATCTCCCGGGCCTCTCTGGGTGGTGCTGGGGCGTCTGATGACGTATTTAAGTACCCATGAGCAGACTAGGAATGAGTCGATCGCTTCTGTTCATAGTGTAAAGAATAAGCCTAGTAGAACAACTGAAGACAATTGTTGTACAAGTTTTGTGGAATTATTGTGATTAATATAAAGTGAAATGACGATAAGAATTGGTAGAGTGCCGACTACAGTACATATTTGAAGTGAGAAGTCCAATTGTGAAGCCATTACCCTGTTGTGAAGAATTACTGTTTATTAAAGTAGACTACAGTACACAAGTGTGTTTCTGTGACCTGGTGGAAATCTACCTTCCTGCTGTTTGTCTGTACACTGATACCGATCGTCGGGAATTACCGGAGACTGGCGGGACAGTCAGTGGTAATTCGACAACTCTTGTGAGATACCTACTGCTTCTGTACATACGACCCTAGCTGCTGGTAACCAGTGGTGGAATCTGATAAACAGGGAAAGGGGTTTGTAACAATACTTACTATAATGATATGAACATATGTGGAAAAAATTTACAAAATCAAACAACTTCTGGTGGTAGTGACATTACCCTGTACTGTACTGTAATGGGTTTAAGGTCAAACAGGGAATTACATATTTCTATTTATATATTGTAAGAAAGAGCAAAACATAAATAAAAAATAAAAAGACTTTACTCTACAGGTATTATGTTTGACATTTTATTTTATTTTATTTTTTTGTATTTTAACCGATGGATACAGTGTGACTGAGCACTTACCTTTAATGTAGTCAGCTGAATGCACACGGGGCCCCCATAATTTTCTATTTACAGGTATACATGGAAACTATATTAATTGGATGAAGCAGAGGAGGAGACAGGGCTGGGTGGGTCATCAATGTCGCTTTCTTCAGACAGGTTTATGTACTGTGGAAACTTGCTGGTTGAAGGTATTGGATCATTTTGAGGGAGTGAAGAGGCAGCACTGGTGGGGCGTGAGGAGACAGCACTGGGGGACTTCTTAAAATAGATGTCCAATTTAGACTGCACAGTTTGCTTTTTCTTTTCATTATGAATTTCTCTGTAGCAAGCAAGTGCATCTTGGATCATTCTGTCAACTTTGGCATAACGCTCATAATTTTGATCCATGCCATCAAACATTTGCATCCCTTTATTAATTGTAGCAAATGCCTCTGCCATTTGCTTCACTGAAAACTTTTTGGGGGGGGTGCAGGTCCTTCTTCTACATTTAGACTGGCTTCTTCCTCTGCATCTTTGTGTGCTTCCAGTTCGATGAGATCTTCGTTACTGAGCTCTTCTGCTACACTTTCAACCAACTGTTCAACATCTTCATTATCAACCTCTAACTGAAGCTGTTTACCTAACTCCACTATCTTGTTACTAATATCCGAAATAACTTTATTTTCATTAAATCCTCTAAAACTGTTCACATATCCTTTCAGGACTTTCTTCCATATTCCATTCATGCACTGACCTGTAACCTGATCCCAGGCTGCACTAATGTTCTTTATATATGACAAAATGTTGTACTTCTTCCAAAACTCTCTGAACGCTTTCTCACCTTCAGTAGCAGCAACAGCCTGAGCGAAGGTTGTATGTAAATAATACGCTTTAAAGGCAGCAATAGCACCTTGATCCATGGGTTGGATGATAGAGGTAGTGTTAGGTGGAATGTACACTACCTTAACATCAGGGTGCAGGTGTGGTGGGTGTCCCGGAGCATTATCCAAAATCAGCAAAATCTTGATTGGAATCCGTTGTTGCAGACAATACTCCTTGGCTCGAGGAATGAAACAAGTCACGAACCAATCCTCAAACAGTACAATGGTCATCCAGGCTTTCTTGTTACTGCGATAAAACACTGGCAGTGTGTGATTGCTGAGATGTTTAAAAGCCCTTGGGTTCTCTGAATGATAGATCATGAAGGGCTTTAGCTTGAAACCAGCAACATTCCCCCCCAACAGAAGTGTAATTCTGCCCTTGAGTGCCTTGAATCCTGGCATTGTTTTCGCCTCTTTGTGGATGTATGTCCACTCAGGCATGCGCTTCCACAATAATCCAGTCTCATCCACATTGAATATTTGCTCAGGCAAATAATTTCCTTCCACAATCACATCATCTAACTCCTCCTTAAAAGCTTCGGCAGCACCAACATCGGCACTAGCTGCCTCTCCACTCACCTTAACATTGTGTAAACTGTAGCGTTTTTTAAATCTGTTAAACCACCCATGACTTGCTATAAAGGTTTGCTCACATTCATCTCCTGCCTGCTCCTTCAGGCTTTGGAACAGGCTTCTTGCTTTAGCCTGTAAGGTTAGAAGGCTTAAGGGTACATGCTTCTGTATCTGGTCTTCTATCCATATCACCAATAATTTTTCCATATCGTGAATAGGACCTTGTCTTCTCTTCGAAATTATAGTTCTCTTTATAGGTGTTGTTCCTTTCACTACATCACGAATACGTTCCTTGTCCTTCAGAATAGTGGATATGGTCGAGTGCGAGAAGCCTAGGTCACTTGAGATTGTTGCTACAGTTTTTCCATTCTCATATTGCATTATTGTCTTTATTTTCATCTCAAAGGTAATTGCCTGTCTCCTTTTCTTCGGAGCGCCACCAGCACTCTCACTTGTACGCTTTCCAGTCATTATAAAGTCAATTAAATACGATAATAATGTAAGTACACAGCGCGATCAGTATAGGATACTTTAGCCAAACACCAACTAAGCGCTGTACTGAGTGAGTGTACCCACGCGGTGACCCAAGCCACGCCACGCTCTTGCCCGGGACGGAAACGTTTCGGTATAGAAAATGACATCGTCATTTGAAAATGTTTTGGTTACGACTGCGGTGGTCGTAAGTGCGGATGGATGTAAGTCGGGGACTACCTGTACTGTACTGTATATATCATCTGTGACTGTGTTGGGAGAAATACAGGTACAGTGCATTACTGTTATAATGAATTTGTGGAAATAAGGATTAGGGAGCCTTGGGGGTTGTGAGCCACTCAGTCCAGTGTTATTAAAGTACGGGTATATTTAAGATATTGTACCCAATAAAAAACAAGGTGTACAGTACAGTATTTACAAGTGATTATGGCTAAACACTAATAATTATTATTAAATACTATACTGTACCGTGTAAGCTCACGGTCGCTGACAACTGCATAAACCACAACACATAGCTCAGAAAAATGACCAAGGTTGGACTTCTAAGAGTTTGTCTGGAGAACTACAGAATAGGCAAAATGTTGTACACTACATAAAATGCAATTGCTTAGGGAATTATGAGTATGAACACAATTCTTGTATAAAATAAGTTATGATATTAACAGGTAGTTTAGTGCATTTATTACCAGGATAATTAAAGCTTTCCCTTACTGTTTTCAGGTTGGGTGTTGAGTGGAGCGTGAGAAAATGAATAATGATAATAAAGTTGAGAAACTTCCTCACCACAAGCAGATGGAGTTCTGTCTCACAAGAGCAAAGTACCGGCAAGGGAAGAAGTTAACGGCTGTCAAGGTTTACACCGTGAATGATGAGTCTAAATACCTTATCATCAACGGTGTTCCGGCGATCAAACTGGTGACGGAGCTAGAGAGAGTGTGCCTCAAGTATGGGGATATTGAACTTTTGAAACTGTTACCTGATTATCCATGTGAAGATTACTCTGAGGTGTACTTACTCAAGTATCACAACATCAAGAGTGCGAGGTTTGCCAAGATTCAGTTGGACGGCAAGTCATTTTACGGCGGAGTGTTACACGTGTGTTACGCTCCGGAGCTGGAGTCAGTGGAGGACACAAGGGAGAAACTCCACGACAGAAGGAAGACTATTGCAGCTCTCACCAGGTACAGGCGTGACCCATCTCTTGTGAACCCATCAAAGAAAAATAAAAATAAAATTTTAAATCCAGTAGCAGAACGTTATTTAGAACATTTGAAACCAGAACTAAAGAATGTTAACTCAGACAAGCTACATAGTCGAGTAGCAGTAGAAGGTCCTTCAAGAGTGAATGTTACAACTCCCACATTCCCACATGATGATGATAATATATTTAAGAGAAATTGTGTAAGTAGTTCATTAAGTGATGAGGGAGAAGTAAAAGGTGAGGCTGCTTCTACTAGTAAGAGTGTCTCCTCACGTACTCCAGTGGCAAGTAAGTCCTTACAAGAGCTTCAAAATATATTTATTCCTCCTCAAGTTAAAAGAAAAACAAATTTTTGTGGTCCTTCAACAACCACTGTGAAAAAAATAAGAGTATTTGGTAATAAAAATATTTTATCATATAAATCCAATAATAAATGATGATGGGAAGAACTTGTCTGTATATAATGTTGAATATAGTGAGCTACTGTATTAATGTTTACTCCCAGTTCACAGTGTTCAAGACTAATTCAGTTCCAAGTCTGTTTCATGTTACATTTTTTTTTATGATAAAAATTTTGTGATATCAAGTACTGTATCCTGATGGTCTCAGTGAACTATAAAAGTTAATGGTTCTTAAATAATACATTTGATAAATTAATTTGTACATTTATTACACATAAATATCAGAATTTTTTAGATCCTGGAGCAATTTTCATGGGCCAGCAATGGAAAAATTTGGGTGGTCTTCTGTCAGCCATCTTGGATTGGCAGACTTTTTTTTTTTTTTTTTTTTACGGGAATTAGCCCACCCACACGACCCACAACAGGCCCTGGGGGCGAATGGAATGGGCTCAGCCTGCCAGGACTCCATACAACTTGTGTTGTGTTACTGTGGTGTTTGTGCTATATTACTACAACAATGTTAGATATTTGTAACTACTTCTTACAAGCTTAAATAAATACAGTACAGTACAGGTTGGACCTTGCTAATCCTGGAAGCTTGGGACCAGACCAGTTCCGGATTTGCGAAAATTCTGAACCATTGTAGCCGAGGTTAAAAAAGGCAAAATAATGCATAAAATGTACCATTACTGTCTAATTTCTTCAGTATAGACATCTTTTATAAAATAGTTAATGTCATATGATTACGTTTCAGCGCTTACAACCACTCTCACTGCTTGCTGGTCTCTTAGGAGGCATATTTAGGGGTAAATTATAAGTATTTAAAGGTCAGATAGTGGAAGCAGTCACTAGACGTGAGCTATGACACCGCCCCAAATCATCGAAGCTACCGGATTAGCGGGGTCCAGCCTGTATACCTGCACTGTACATGAAAATACAGTATCCCTCATTTAGCAATAATTTGCTACATGTTACTTCACTTAAGCGATAAAAAATTTGGACACCCTTTCTCACTTAGTGCAGGGTCAAAATTCAGTTTAGCAAAACTTCGACTCATTGGGAAGGGAAAAACTGGGGATTGTGTGTCCAATTATGCATCTCTATTCTCAGTTGTCTATGTTTACTGTACCTGCACACCTGAGAGTACGCTGTGAATTCTTTTGGAGAGCTGACAGTGTGATAAAGCAACGTAAACTTTGTGAAGTGTCGGGAACAATGAACATTCCGTCTCCCCCACACATCAACTGGTGTAAGTGTCGTGGAGTTGTTCCCCCATGCCAGAGTGGAGTTGCTGTTTGCAATATATTGTTAGAGAAAAAAAAACTGATAAAATTTACAACAGTAATATGTAAACATTGATTCAAGTGTGTGATTCATAACTTGCTATGGCATATGAATACAGTAAACTCCCAGTTAGGTGGTACTCTTTAATCAAGGATGTGTTTGGGTCTTGAAATAAAATAAATAAATATTTTGAGCTGGGGCGTCCAGGGAAACACTTACCCGAGAGGTTTTTACCGTTTACACATTTAACTAAATTTATCACATTGTTACTCATTTCGTGGGTGCCTAATACAATAGATAAAATACACAGTACCCAAAATCAAACATGTTTGTTTATTGCAACAATATTTTTCATGCATGTATGTAGTCTTAATAATTCCTTTTTGACTAAATTTGAATTTGTGGCATACAGTGAACCCTCGCTTTACGCAGTCAATTGAACCCACGGAGGCCCGCGTAAAGCGAGAAACGCGTTAAGTGAACAACATAACATATGGGATTAATTGAAATAGAGACCGGGCCGACCCCCAAACTCCACTTTTTCCTGACACAATACGTACCTTTTAGTAAAAATAACATCTTAACTTTATGATGGTATGCACACACACATAATATAGAAGGGAACAATCAATAAGAGAATAATATACTGTAGGTTAGGTTAGAAAAAAACAAGGTTAGGTTTAACACTTACGTTAGTAGAAGAGATGGGTCAGCGTACGGGAATGGAGGCTGGTTCCAAGGCAGAGGGCAGGCTACTGGCCCTCAGGTGAGTCACCACCACTGTCATCCACATTTATCAGTGCCTCCCTGACAAATCCCTCAAAGTCACCATCACTGTCTCTGTCACTATCACTGGCTTGGGCTGGCTGTGGTGGGTTGCGGGCGAAGAACTCGGTAATGCTTTGTTGACGGCTAGTGTTGATGTTGTCGTGATACACCTTGATGTAGGGCTCCATAGTCTGCAACAGCTGGGTAGTGAAGACTTCATACAGGTTATCGTCAGGGTCGTCGGAAAGGAGGAGCTTGAGTTTCTCAACACACTCGATGGCACCCCTTACATTACTATGCGATAACTTGCGTTCTTCTTGGGATGACGCACCACCTGCCTCTTCACTGACGTCATCATCATCTAACATCTCGTCAGCAGTCACATCAGGATCCCTTATCACCTCCATAATGTCATCGTTGGTGGTCTCGGAGAAGCCTGCAGCTGTAACACTGCGCAGCTTCTCTGGCAAGGTCCACTGCTACTGCAACAGTCTGAACCTCACCAGTCACAGACTGACTCTGCCTCCCACCTGGAATACCTTGCAACACATGTCTCCATGCGTGACGAACCGTTGCTACAGACAGCTGACCCATGCCTCCACCAAGAAGTCCACAGCTTTCTTGATGTTGAATTTTCTCCAAACATGTTTCACAAGTACTTCTTGCTCTGCCAACTGTTGTTCCTCATCCTCTTCGCTCTTGCTATCGGTGTCACCCAGGTTACGCAACTCATCCTTGGTGTTGGTACAGTCGTTCAGGAGCTTAAACTTCTTTGCAGAGAATTCAGCTTTCACATTGCAGATTAATTCTTGGTCCATGGGCTGGATTAATGACGTACTGTTGGGAGGAAGGAAGACCACTTTTATGTTGGGGTGGCGAGTGTCCTGGTGCGTTGTCAAGCAGCAACAAAATCTTGAATGGAACATTCTGTTGCTCACAGAATTTCTTCACGTCGGGAACGAAAAAGTCATCAAACCAGGAGAGGGACCCCTGTGAGAATCTGGTGAAAGCTATGGACCCCCTCCCTAGAAAAATGCACATAAGCACATAAACACAACTTTGCATGCAATGAATATATTTTATTGAAAATTCTTTGCCTCATACAGTATATGACATACACAAAGTATAAATAAAGTAAACAATCTTAACAAAGAATTATGTTTCACACCTTTTTTATGCAAAAATTAATGGCGATTCCATACAAAAATGAAATACAATCATCTTGTGCAATTTGAACAAAACAAAACTTTAATTCTGCTCAAAAGTTCATTTCAATGAGAAGGTTGTTGTTGTTTGGCTTGAAGATAAATGTTAAATTTTTATCTGACCTTCACGGACCCCCCGAAGCCCATCCATGGACCCCAGGTTAAGAACCCCTGGTGTAGAGTGTGGCTACTATACTGGCTCATTGTCCTCACACGGCAGACCCATCCACCCTTGAGGGGTCACTTATTGTTAGTTATTGTTAAACATTTTTCTCCGTCATGGTCATACCCCCCACCCCCACACACACCAAAAAAAAAAATTAAATAAAAAATCTCAATGGATCTACAAGGTTCACGTGGGTCGCCTAAAACAATGAAAAGGGGGTTAGAAATCACATCCCTGTTAATGCCCAGAATTGAAATTGGCTCGGTATTTTTCTGGGAAAAGGCTCTCCATTCCGGGTCTGTGAACGAGTTTCTGAGGTAGAAAATCATACAAATTTTCTGAGAAAATTCTGGGAACCTCCATTTTTGTTCAATCCAGAATGCGACATCTAGCTTTATACCCAGGTATGTTAATGCCTAGCTATAACTCGCCAGGCCAACATACAGGCAATTAAAACATCTAATAATTACTTAATACGTAATATTAGGAGGACATGTCGCGACCTGGCATTTAATTGCAATTCTCAAAACACCCTCCATCACACGCACTGCCACCGCCATCTTCTTGCCTGGCGAATCAGCTGTAAATACGCACAAAGAAAGTTCCGCTAATTTGTGTTGTAATAGCTGAAATACTAAGTGCCACGAGGATTTTATATACGTTATTTATTCATCTTAGCACGGTGAGGAAATCGAGTGACTTTTATTTTGTTTGTCTCTCAGATATTGTGTTTGGGACAATTTTTTATACGGTCTGGTCAGCATGGCGACCACAGCTCGTCTTCTATTATGAAGACAGTAGATCGTTAGTGACTAATATCCTCTGCTTTCAAGTCACTTAGTGAATGACATTGTTTTTCGCCCTTCCGGGCTCGTCTTCACTGAAAGAATATATATAGATATATATATATATATCATGTAGCTCCACAATGAAAATGTGGATAAGATAAATCTTGATAAAATCACAGAGGGAAGAGAGAAACGATGGAGCACCTTAGCTTTCGTCTTTATTCAAGACATCTTCAGAGGCAACTGGATTACATGGACAGAGAGAGGCTTAAATATACAGGGTGACCTTATTAAACATACACTAGTACTATTTCAAAACCTAGGATTAAAGATAAACCAGGTCAAATATAATCTCATACCATGTCAGAAATTGGAGTGGTTAGGTTTCCATTGGGATACCAATCAGCAGTCAGTCAGTCTACCAGAAGCAAAAGTCACAGATGTGATAAACCAAGTAGAAGCCTTTTGTGTAAAGCAAGAGGTTTCTTGGCATGATTGGGAAAACTACTGGGTCTGTTGAATTTTGCCACCATAGTAGTTCCTTTGGGTATGTTAAGGAAGAAGCAACTAACTCATCTGGGGTTAAAATTGCTTCACAGAAACAGAAATATTGCTTCTTCTCTCCCTATTCAGATAAAAAATCATCTATCATGGTGGACAAATTTGGACAATCTAATCGGTTCATCTCACTGGGTTCCCCCTCAAAGACTTGGTCGTTTGTACGGACGCGTCCGAAATAGGATGATGATAATTTCACTTAACATTAGGGGTTTTAGGAACACACCCACATTGTTAAACCTGTACCTGTATCTCCATATACCACAACTCTGATGTAGTTTTCTTGGGGTTGTACTGGCCAGTTGACACACTGGAATGGTTGCATTGAACAAAGCTTTGGAATGTCTGCTGTAAAAATATAACTGTTTATTAAAATCAACCATACACGGTACACAAAGACTTCAGTATTACACCCAATTTATTGTGTCTTTGTATCCTGTTTAAAAAATAACTTTGCTCAAGTTTTCCTTATGTTACTGTATGGCTA